AAAGAAAGAAAGTAAAACCCAGCAGAGCCGGAGGCTCGAGGGTGCCCAGCTTTAACACTCCTGCAGATAGCCCAGCCGGAGCAGCTGCCCGAACCTCTGCTCACCTTTCCTGAAGGCAGGCCCAACTGCTGACCTGGCTTGCTAGAAACTTAACATCCTGGACTCTGGTCAGCCTGGCTTTCAGGGGTGGGGAGGAGGCCCTGTGTGCCCATCTGGCCTGCACCTCTCTTCACGTGGTTTGGCACAAGGTCCTGAGAGATCTGCAGCCCTGCCACCCACGTGGCGTGTCCAGGAGGTTGCATTTCCCTGTTAAAGCAGAGGCTCACGGCTCCTAGGGGGCCCTCCCTGTCCTGGTAACACTGACTCTGAGGCGAGCCCCACAGTGGAAGACACTCGGATCCAGGGAGGACAGTGTGCCAGCTGGTCTCTGTCCCTCTCACTGTTGGAAGTGCCCCCAGCTGAACAACTAAGCATGTGGTCATCTGGAGGTGGCCATGAATAACTAAGCATATGGTCATCTGAGCGGTCATATGGAGGCAGCTGTGGCAGTTTGCTCTTTCATAACACCTCCCCCAAGTCATGAGATGATGGTGCTGCCCCCACATGCGAGATTGGAGACCCCGGCCCGCCTCACCAGCTAACACGGAGACCCATTCGCTGCCAACGCACAGGTACAGCCCCTTTCTGCTGGCATCAAACCAGAACTGGGCATCTTCCACCTTGGTACACGGCGGCTGGGATCCCAGTGTCACTCTCATGTCAGTTTCTGAGGGGAGACCGAGAAGGTGAATGTCCAGTGGGTCAGTGCTGGGGAAAGCTGACGCAGTAGTGGCCCCCACACTGGGCGGTCCTGTAGTGATATTATGTGGCTGAGTATGTTCGAGATAGGGGCTCCCCTCACTTGTACCCACATGTTGTGAGGCTCAGCGGCTCTGCTGTCCCCACCACCTCACCTTCCTTTGCAGTGGCTGCAGGGCAGGGGTGCTATGGGCCTGGGGGTTCAGATTCCCCAGGTGAGGGAACACAGCCAGCCTCTCACCCTGAATGGAGAGGGCGCAGACCCAGGAAACCCTCTGGCTGGTGGGGTCATGGGAAACACGTGTGCTCCAGAGTCGGCACCCTGGGCAGCTAAGGTGAGGACTACTGGGAAAGGTGGGGAGGAAAAGCCCCAACTGCCCTGGGGGACAAGACAGGATAGCAGGTGGGCACCAGCAGAGAAAGAGAAGAATACTTTCTCCTGAAACTAGCTGAGCCTGCCATCTGCCAGGGGCCCTAGGACGGAGTGGATGGCTGCTCCATCCAGGAGTACCTGGAGGAAGAGTGGGCAGCATGGCCCTGAGCGTCCTGTCACCACAGCAGCTCTGTTGAGAACAGCCAGTGCAGGGGAGAGGAGAGGGAGCCCTTGCTTGAGGCCCTGGGCACTGGCTTGGTCTACTAACCATAGGGATACTGCAGCACTTCGTTATCCTCCAGCTTCCCCGAGAGGGCCTGCAGTACCCGCGGGATGGACAGCACGGCCAGCTGGGGGTTCCTGCTAGGACACAGCCACAGCGTGGCATCTGAGCCGGGCAGTAGCACCAGCTGCCTCACCAGGCCCTGCAGAGAGAGGGACAGCCTCAGACCTGGAGGGTGGGCCCACAGGGTATGGTCCATCCTTCAGGGAAAAGTTTAACTCCTGAAGAGCTGGGAGAGAAGTGGCTACCTGCTAGGTACAGGGATGCCACTGGGCGTCACTGTGGAAAACTGCATACCTTCTCCAGTGATAAGACCACAGAAGGGAGTTTCACGTGGACTGACTTAAGGTGACTGGCTACACTGCTTAGCACTCATCCTTATATCCATCCGTCCATCTATCTGCCCATCTGTCCATCCCTCCATCTGCCTGTCCATCAATCATCTACTCATCATCCATTCCTCCATCTATCCATCCATCCATCCATCTGTCCATCCCTCCAGCCATCTGCCCATCAACCATCCATCCACCCATCAACAGCCTATCCCTCTGTCCACCTGTCTGTCCATCCATCCACCCCTCTGTCCAAGCATGCCACCAATAAATATTTACAGAGCACCTCCTCTGTGCCAGGCATGGTTTTGGCCACTACAGACACAGCACAGCAGGCAGCAAAAGCAATGCCCTCATGGAATGAGGAGGAGAGACAGAACAGAGCAAATACAGCTGGTCTGAGGTGGTTTGTGCTACTAAGAAAGTCAACACAGAGAAGGGGCTGCAAGGCTGGCACAGACAGCACCTCAGACTTGTGGGGGCAGGTCTCAAAGTAAGAGGATACTTGCGCAGGGGCCCAAGGGGGTCAGGAAAGGGTCTGCTAAGAACAGGAAACAGCAAGTGCAAAGGTCCTGTGGTAGAGACCCCAGTGAGCCTTTGTGCTCACTGTTCCCAGTTAGCACCTATGAGAATCTGCTAAAGCATTAGGACACCAGGCTGGGGTCCCCCATATCTCCCAGCACTGACCGTGAATAGGCCTTTGGTTCTCTTCCGGCTACCAATGAAGAACCGAGCTGCTCCCACTGACAGGGTAGCCGGGAAGGGCACATCAGCCATTCTGAAATATTGGAAGATAGTTTTAGGGCCATAGGAGAGCAAGGTGGAACCTGCTTGCTGACAAAAGGAAAGGGAGTGGGCCCCCCGTGAGGAGTGCACAGGGCCTGGAGCTGCCTAGCAAAGCTCCACTACCAGGTGGTTTAAACAACAGAAAGCAATGGTCTCCCAGCTCTGAAGGCCCTGAGTCTGAGGTCAAGGGTGGCAAAGCTATGTGTCCTCTGCAGGCTCCATAGGAGGATCCAGCTCTGGGGCCAAAGTGTCCCCCAGGGCTGTGTTGCTCTGATTGTGACCTCTGTCTGCATATGCCTGCTCCTGTGTGTCTGTCTCTTACGAGGACACTAGTCATATTGGAGCAGAGCCCATCTTGCTCCAGCATGACCTCAGCCCAACTTGATTCTACCAGCAGAGACCTTGTTTCCCAGCAAGGTAATATTTACAAGTACTTGGGGGACATCACTAGGGGGGCACTGCACCCCAGGACAAGGCTCATCTGTACAATCCCAAGAGGAGATCTGTGGTTCTCCCTCATCACAAGGCACACCTGCACAGGCTTCCACAGGGTCCCCCATCTCCCCCTCCACTGAGCTGTGACTCTACACATGGCCTGGGAAGGTGGACAGAAGCCTTTGGGGCAGGAGTCACTGGTGATCTTGATGTGTGAGTGGAGGGTTAACTCTGGAGATGGGGCAGGTGGGCTCCCAAGTAGGGGGTGTTATGGCTAGAATCCCTAGGCAGAGATGCAAAGTGCCTTCAGGTCTCACCTCTAGGCCATGATGCCACTATCCTCTTACAAAACACCTGCTCCTTCCAGAGCTTTCCACCTGGCTGCAGCTGGCCATGGTGGGGTCAGCTCCTGCCCTGCTGTTCCAGAAGGCCTGTCCTCTGCACAGCTCGGCCTCCACTACACTCCAGGCTTCTGCCCCCAAACCCTGGCCTGCACCCTCTGTAGCTGCCTGCAGGGCCCCTGAAACCCACATGCCTAAATCCTTGGCCACAGTTGGCCTAGTCCCTAGTTCTTGCCTGCCTGGGCCCAACCTCCTGCATCCTCCCACATTGCAGAGCTGTCCTCACTGCCTGGTGGTAACTGACTCTCCAGTCAGGAGGCCTTGGAGAAACAGGGCTTTGAGTCCAATGATGAGCCAAAGAGGGGCAGCGTGAGGCTTGGAGGATATAGGTGTGGTCCATCTCTGCCATCAGCCAGGCCTCAGCCCTGCCCACTGTGCTCCTCCTAGAGAGACAAGTGCAATTCAATCCAGCTCAGAAACCTCGCTCCCTCTGTCTTCGCCAGGGAGTCCATTCCAAAAGCACATAGGGACACCCCACATCACTATGTTCTGGTGCTAAGCTCTTCCTATCTCCTCACGAGTCCAGGGAAGATTTGTTCAGGCCTCAGGTGGTGCCCTCCGGTCCTTCCCAGGTGCTCAGGCAAACCCAGAAGCCAGGAGATGTTTGTGTCTGGCCAGACTGACTTTCCTCATGCTGGTGGGAAGCTCTTGCCAGTTCCCTTGGACCTGTGAAGCCTGAGAATTGTCCATGCAGTAGGGCCTGACTTTGTCCCCAAGAGCTCAAGCCCTCACGAGGGCCCTAATGAATTATGAGTTCTGGGATATGGGGGGAAGAGTGTGATCAAGGTGTGTTTAAAGGTACAAAGTTTAAGGATTCTTTTTATTATAAAATAAGCTTCATGACAACATAACAGAAGAAGAGTCTACCTTTGAGAAGTAATATTTGTGATAATAATAGATTTATATAAACTGATCACTGCAATTAAAAAGAAAGACCCTGCAGCCCCACTCTGCCATGGTAGCTTGGCGGGATGCGGTGGCCACCAGCTGGCAGAGCTGCAGACTTTCCACCCTGGACCCAGCAGACTTACTGTCAGGGTGCAGAGACCACTGATTGGCAAAGCCGAGAGTGAATTAGGCTTCCCAATGCCCTGTTGTGTCCACAGTGGGGCTGACTTTGCCCACTCATCTGGAGTTTGTGTGGACTTTTTCACTCTCATCTCGTGTCAGCTAGCTGGCACCCAGCCCCTGAGTTCTGTATGGGTCTTCATTTCCGCTGTGGCTGTCTATGCCATCCAAAGCACTCTTTACAGTGCACAAGACACTGGCCGCGCCCCCTGGGCTATTTCCAGAAGTCAGAGGAGCTGCTGGTATGAGGATCTTCATGTGGTTTTAAGCCACTGATGCTTCCATGTGTGGCAGGTTTTGTTGTTTTAGGTATGGAGAAAGAACAAAAACCTGGGTTCAAACCCGCAGTTTCACACTCGCTGGGGCCACTGGCTTGGACATCCCCTCCAGCCCAGATCCCAGGTGGCCCACTCACCTGTCCCTCTCTCCAGTGTGCAACCCAGCCCTCAGCCAGGGGCCTGTCCCTTGCCCCCAGCCCACTGTTGAAAGCACATACAGTGAAAATAAGATGTTGTCTGTCACGCTAGGGTGGATGTGACATAGCTGGTCTTCACCTCCTGGCTCCGATTCTTATTGGTTTGTAAATTTAGTTCCCACCCTAAACAGGCCCCTGTTGAATAGTTTAGGAATTAACTTTTGAATCGGAAATGTTATAATAGATTGTTACTGAGTTGTGCTGATTATTATTTAAAATAAGGGTTATTATGGTCTTTGCTTTAAGAAGATTGATCTAGGAATTAACTTTTGAATTGTGAACTGTAATAGATTGCCACTGAGTTATGCTGATTATTACTTGGAATAGGGGTTAGTGTAGTTCTTGCTTTGAACTTTTATGTAAAAAGTATAATTTGGAAATAGAAAAGCAAAACAGTCTAGGAGCGGCTACTCTTCCTGCTCTCCAAACCCCGGCCTTCTGACCAAGGTTGGTGGACCTGTCTCCATCTCTGCACGTTGGCTGACAGTGACAGGTGGCCGGTCCCTCTTTCTCTGGCGGCCCTGTGGCCCTTTAGAGGGCGGGGATGGCATCCAAGGCTGCCCGCGGGCTCTCTCGACGCCCCGCCAGCTCTGCCCGCGGCACTAGTGCGACCAGCTCCCCCAGCCCAGCGCACGTGCAGCCGCCGCCAGGCGTCAACTACCTACATGTCCACCGGGAGGCCACAGTCCGTGGTGAGGGAAAAGGAGTCTTCTGACACAGCCAGGACCACCGTGTGCCACTGGCTGTCCACCAGGGCGGAACTGCGGAAGGACACGCGGGTTTGCCAAGCGCCGGTAGCGTCCTCGCTGAGGAACAGGAAGTGCAGCTGGGCGGGCGAGTAGCGCAGGCCGAGCAGCAGCGCGTTGCTCTCCTCCGCCAGCACCG